ATTTAATATATAATTCACTTTATAAGACTAGTCTAGATTAAATGTGTCTGTTCAAAATAAAATAAAACAAACCTTTAGAATATATATACTTCATCATATATATTTAACAGATTTTTAAAGGAGTAGTAGAATGGCAGAATTATTAGTACATAATTCTATTTCTTTGGGTTTTATGTTAGAGATTTTCATGTATTTTTCCATACTTCTTATAACCCAGCAAAAATTTCTTATAATATCATGGAATGTTGCCAGTGAGTCTGATTGCTTTAAATTAAATTAAAGCATTAATTTAATTAAATAAATTTAATTAAATGATGAGATGGCTAACCATTCTTTTTTAACCACTTTTTTCTCTCTTCACTTTTTCCTTCCTGTTTCCTAGATGAGGAAGAAGGCAAGTTCATGTTTCTTTTTCAGACTGAGAATATTTTTGTAAAGTTTCTGAGTTTGTTTAGAAGGATGGAGTTAGTAACTGTTATTGGATTCCTTGGAGTTGATTCTGACTCATAGGCACCCATGTAACAGAGTGGAGCACCCCCAAGTGTTTTCTTCGCTATAATCATTTACAGAAGCACATCCCCAAGTCTTTCTTCTGGAGAGCCAATGGGTGGATTTGAGCCACTAGACTTGCAGTTAGCATCTGAACATTTCACCCATTATGCCCTCAGGTCTCCTATGTGTTAGGAATTACCTAGTTGATGGCATCTTCCCGGGGTATCCCTGCCACTCTAGCCATTTCTCTGCAGGAATAATACTGAGCCAAACAGAATTGTGTAGATTAACAATTACCGAATGACATGATACAGACTAAAATAACAGCTTCAAAGAAAGCAGTAATTTTGAACCTCTTCCCTTCCCCTTTGTTCATTGATGCATGAATTAGAGCAACAGTGTGTGAACCATTGAAAAATGCTTCCGTTTTCTTTGATTAAAACAAAGGACAAGTTCAGTGAATTCCAGCCTCCATGTAAGCTTATCCGAAGTGAAATACAGATTTGTCTGAAATTGCTGCTTTTTTTGCAAATCAGAATAGTTTAAAATAGCATTCTAGTTTTGGATCTGAATTTAGCCTTTCTCACCATTAGTTCAGATTTTTTAAATGACCATCTTTCTAACCAGTTTGTAGAATCCCATTTGCTTCATCTGCCTGTTGCCCCTCAAATATAAATGCATGCCTCCTTAAATATAGTTTAGAAGTAGAGAACCATTTTATGATCAGGGCTTTATTTAGATAAATGCATTTCTGTTACAAGCTTTGTTGCTTGAACTAAGCTTGCGTGTTTAGCAGTTTGGACATTCAGGAGGAAAATCGTAATTCCGGTGTGTTTCTTTTTCAGGGCACCAGTCCTTCATGGCCCCATCTTGTAGCGTTCTGCACTGCCCGGCCGCGTGCACCTGCAGTAACAGTATCGTAGACTGCCGTGGGAAAGGTCTCACTGAGATCCCCACAAATCTGCCTGAGACCATCACAGAAATGTATGTGCCCTGATATCCCCTCTTATCCACCCACCTCCCCTATATACCCCACCCTTGATTTTCTTTAGGAGATACTGGATTTGTCAAGGGCAAGTCTGATCAATTAGCTCAGACAAATGTTATTTTCAGAAGCTTATAGACCCTTACTCTGTTTAATTAAACACTTTGTTGAAGTGGCTAGGATCTTCGTTTGTCTGTTGGCTTGTTTTAAACACATGAATACAATTAGAAAGACTGTATTTTCAGGAAAAATAATATCTGTCCTTCCCAAGGGAAGGTGTTTTTAGAATACTTAAGAAAGCAAGACTGTTTGTGCCTAGTATGAACTGTTGGGTCGGTAGGACATCTCTTCTTGTCCCTTTGCAGCTCGGAGTGATGGGAGTATAAAGAAGGGCTGGCTGGAGTAATCCATCATAGAAATACAATAAGTCCATTATATTCTACCTCCTCCAGAGCTCATGTTTTAAAATGAGATTTCACAATTTTGTTGGACCTGTTGCACAGGCAGCCCCCGGCTTATGAATGAAATGTGTTCCTAAATGTGTCTTTAATTTGTATTTGTAGGTGAGTCAGAACAGGTGCATACAGTTCTAATTTAGCCTTATATTAGTGCAAGAAAAGGCTGAAGCTTTTTCAATGATTTAAAAGGTGAATGTGCTGCAAGGGAAGATATTTGTGATGAACAATTTGTTGTGAGGTTTGGTTCAGTCCTTTTAAAGTGAGGGCAAATTTACATAACATTATAGGGCAAGGGCTAGTTTCCCCTACATTAGACGTTCCTAATCTGGGGATTTACCATATATTCCAATGCAAAATATAAAATATCTGATATTATGACACTAGATCTAAAAGCTTTTCTTAGTGAGTGGTTTAGACTGTTTGAGTCAGTGACTACCTCCATGAAAAATTAAATTATGTTGACAAAGTATTGCATACAGATTTGATATGCAGTTGCTGTATACATTTCTATGTCCTTGCCAAATGTAAGTCATGTGGATAAAACAAGATCACGTAAGATGGAAAATGGGATGCCTTTACCCTCTTGAGAAGTGGACATTAGGGAAATCTGTACCTTGATATCTATTACCTAAGAAAGGGCCTCTTACCCAGCTGGCACATCATATTATTGCTTTGGAGGCCAAGTCTAAACTACAAAAATAGGTTTTGTTTTCTGGTGCTGAAGAATGAAAGATGACCAAATGTTTATGATAGGCCTACATGAAACCTGTTGATGTCAAATAAATTCTAACTCATAGCAACACTATAGGATAAAATAGAACTGCCTCATTGGGTTTCCAAGGCTGTAAGTCTTTACAGAAGCAGGCTGCCACTTCTTTATCCCAAGAAGTGGTTGGTGGGTTTGAACTGCAGACCTTTCAATTAGCAGCTGAGAGCTTAACCACTGTGCCACTAGGGCTCCTTTCATAGGCCTACGTAATAGGCAAAAATAAAAGTGAAATTTTAAGTTAATTTCAAAACTATCTACTTTTTACCAATCTCTATAATAAACTATCTGGTATAAATTACTCTTTATGAGAATAACATTAGGTCGCATCATTTTAATACTATGCCAGAGCTTTGCAGTATAAGAAATGACCCTCTACAGGAATGATGAGACTGGTAGATATTTGACAGAGACATGGAATGATGTACATGCCTAATAATATTAATTTCAATTTTTTAATTGATGGGGCGCTACCTTACCCATAGGAGAAGACCTTTGTAAGTGGTTTGTGGCTTTTTTTTTTTTTTTTTTTCATGGAACCTTGAAAGAAGAATGAATATGGTTTGGTAAGAAGCAAGTGGCATTTCATGAAAAGGGGAAGATATCAGAGTAAAGGCCAAAGATGGTGGTGAACATTGTGTTTGAGTAACCATGCAGTTTAAAGTAATTGGAATGATAGCTTTCTGTTGAGGTGGTGTGGAAGGTAATATCCAAAGAAGATCTCTCCATCTAATTCTGAAGTCTTAGATTATTACTGCAGATCATTAAGTTTGGTCAGAAGGTATAAGCTATAATGAAGTAGGTCGTAGAAAGCTGTCGAATGTGTGAATACAATGTTAATTCATCCAGGGATAGACACTTGGTAAGCAATCCTTCACTATTTAAACCAGGTGCCTTTGAGTTGACTCTGATTCATCGTGACCCCATGTGTGTCAGAGTACAACTGTGCTCCATAGGGTTTTCACTGGCCAATTTTTTTGCAATGATAGATCACCAAGCTTTTGCCTCTGGGTGGACTCCAACTTCCAGATTTTCAGTTAGCACTGAAGCATGTTCATCATTTGCACCTCCAGGGATTTTGATATTATATGAAGACATTATGAATTCTCCAGAGATCTTCCCTCAAGTGACTAACAAATTTGACATGCAAATAAATAACTATGAAATCAGGTGTGAAGTAATAAAAATCATAAAAGAGGAATGAATAAGCTTTGAGATAGTACAGAGGCCATCAGATGGAAGGCAAGATGTAACAATGAGAGTCAGAAAGCTTTAGGTAGAACCCCAGACCTACCTACTATGTGGTCAGTGAGACCTTGGGCAACTTACTTGTCCTATGTAAGCCTGTTTCTTCAGCTGAAATTTAGGATTATTGTTAATTTGTAATGAAATAATTCATACATATAGAGCTTTATGTAACTGCCATGTAGTATCATCCAGTAAATGATAGCTCAGTCATGGAAAGCTTCATGCAGGAGGTGACACTGGAGCTGGCCCTTGAAGGATACATAGGAATTGGAAACACAGATTTGAGAAAAAGGCTTTTACAGTGAATAGCAATCTTAGCAATAAGTATGAAAGCACAAGACACCCAAACAAGAATTAAATATCACTATGATTTAATACCCAAGAGAGTGCTGGGAAATAAGCTTGAAAAGATAGGGCTTTGATAGTGTAAGCATCTTAGACTTTATTTGGAATGTATTTGAACAAGTAGTTTTCATCTAAATCTTCAGGAAGGATTAGTCTGACAGATGTGTGTCAGTGGTTTGGGCAAAGAAAAGAATAGAAGGCGGGTGGCCTCTTAAGGGACTGTTAGATTGATCTAAGGGAAATGTCGCAGAGCAAGAGTTGAGTCAGTATTAAGAATGGGGATGTGGGAACAGATGTCATAACTAGTATAGAAGCAGAAGTAATGAGATTTGACATTTGATAAGATAAGTGAGTAAGAGAGATCAATGAACCCAAGGTGATGACAGAGAGTCCAATATAACAGACTGAGAGGTGGTGCCCATGGCAGTGTATTTAAGTAACCTAGAAGCAAGACCAGGAGCCCTGGTAGCGTAGTGCCTAAGGCATTTGACTGCTAACCAGAAGGCTGGCAGTTCAAATCCACCAGCCACTCCTCAGAGGAAGATGGGGCAATCTACTTCTGTGGTGATACTGCCTCGGAAACCCATGGAGGGGCTGCTATGAGTTGGGTCCAACTTGACGGCACATAACAACAACAATAACAACAGAAGCAAGACCACAACTGAGAAAGAAGATGATAGTGAGTTCATTTTTGGAAACACTGAAGTTTGAATGAGCTATCTAGAAGTAACTAGGATAATACAGACTAGAATGTTGTTGGAACAAGACAATAACCTGAGAAAATGATTTTGAAGTAATTAACAAACACAAAGTTAATAGTTGAAGCTATCAAGTGTCCAATGGAAAGCAGAATAAGGGAAGATGAGAAAGCCCAAGGGACCTACATAGCAATAGGAGGGAGCTGGGGGAAGAATGGCAAAAAACAAGCATATTCTGCAGAGTTAAATCCTCCTGTTGATGAATGAAGCTCAAGTCAGAGAGAAGGCCTTCACATTTGACCAGCAGAGTGTTCACAGAAGATTCAGTTTTGCTAGTAATAGATAAGTCAGCCTCTTTTCTGAGTGGTTAGAAAGGGAATATATGATGTATATTGGAGAAAGAAGATATGGAGCATATCGGGGAGTTTGACTGAGAAGAGAAGGGGTTTTTTGAAATTATATTAGTTGTTATAAAGGACAGGCTTGGATTTATTTTAAGATTCAGAAACATATAGTCATTAGAACACAGTGAGCAGCAGTGATCCAGGTGAGGGGAGGCACACAAGCCCCACCCCCGAGAGGCAGGAGAGTGGGGGAAAAGAAAGCCAAGCCAGGAGAAGGACAGAGCAAGCAGTGACAGAGATCCAGGCAAGGGGAAGGCAGAGAAGTTTTGAACAGCTAAGGGAGACAAGCTTGTCTGTCAGTTTCTCCTACTGTGGTGGCTTGCATGTTGCTCTGAGGCTTGAGGCTGTGCCACTGGTGTTTCAAACACCAGCAGGGTTGCACGTGGGGCACAGGTTTCAGTGCAGCTTACAGGCTGAAATATACTAGGAGGAAGGAAGAGGCCACTCACTTCTCAAAGAACTGGACAGGGAAAACCTTATGAATAGCAGAGAAGCACTGTCTGATACATTACTGTGCAACTTTATGAATATCCCAGAAGCATTTTCTGATATAGTATAGGAGGACAAGCCCCTCAGGTTGGAAGGCTCTCAAAATACAACTGGGAAAGGGTGCATCATCCAAGTAGAACCAACCCTATCGATACGGCTAAAGTAACACTTTTGAGACTTCCATTTGCTGATGTGGCATGACTCAAATTGAGGAGAAACAGTGCAAACATCCATTAATAATTAGAACATGGAATGTACAAAGTATGAATCTAGGAAAATTGGAAATTGTCAAAAAAGAAATGGCGCATAAAGATTGAAATCCTAGGCATTTGTTGTTGTTGTTATGTGCCGTCCCCTCCTTGGGTTTACGAGGCAGTATCACTATGGAAGTAGATTGCCCCATCTTCCTTCCGAGGAGTGGCTGGTGGGTTTGAACCGCCAGCCTTCTGGTTAGCAGTCAAGTT